AAGATTCACCTCGAGATCCATGGTGGTGTGTCGCGTGGGCGGCGTACCGTATTGGCCGTGTGGCGGCGGCAGATGATGGGGATGAAGGGGGTGTAGCTGCTGGGCCGCGTTGAACTGCTGATGATGTAGGGACGGTTGGTGATCGCCGCCGAGGGTGTGCCTCCTCGGCTCGTCCCTCGATCGCCCACCACCCCCTGATCCGCTCCTGCCGCCCGAGCCGCCTCCGATGCTTCCGCCACCTCCGCCAACCCCCAGCACGCTTCCGCCTCCCCCTCCGACGCCGCTGCCCACGCCGCCGCCACTGCCGCCTCTTCTCCCAGTTGGAACCTCGTTCGAGCCTGCCTCACCCTCCCCCCTGCTGGACCCACCTGCAACCAAGTCACAAAATCCACCCTTTAGTATCCGCTTCCGGCTTCGTCCTCCATCCTTCCGCGTTTTTTCCCCCATTTTTAGCATTCTTTCTTGGATTGCTTTTTTTAGAGGGAGAGGGAGAGGGATGTTTGGTAAAGGGAGATTCGTGCTTGGAACAGCTTTTAGCGTCTTCCGGGGGGTTGTTCTCTATCTTTTTACGTTTCCTTCGAGATTTGTTGTTTTTCGAGGGAGAGAGAGAGCAGGGTGGTAGTTGATACGCGATGAAACGTTCGATTGAGGGTGTATTGGGAGAGGGAGCTCCGTGTCGGAGAGAGCTGGGCCGACCTATTTGGCAGAAAGTCGTTGGTAAACTCGGCCGAGAATAACGTGTTCGCGGAAGTGGCCGGAAATAGTTGCAAGAGACACGTGCGAGCAGCAGGCGCCAGGATACACGCGCCACTTTATTCAAAGCTCCCCCCGAGGAGCACAGTCTCGGGGGAAGGCCCGAGCAGAGGACCGTGTACGCGGAGATGAGAAGATGGCTGGACTGGTCACGGTGTTTCGGGTTTGAAGTTCATGATACGATCGGGAAAATAGGACGTCTCGCATCTCGCGTGTCTTACCATAGGTTAGGGATTAGGGGTGTTGAATAGTTGGAAAATAACCTACTACTGGTTATGAAAATAAAATGCCTGGCTTGCTATGCGTTAACCCTCTGTACTCGAAGACCTTTATGCTGATAAAGATGTAAGAATTCGAAGCTTTTCCTATATCTTTCTGAGCTCGCCGATATATTTAGCATTTATGCTAAAGTAAAAAGAGAAAATGGCAAATTTTTGTCACGAGGACATCAGGCGTGCCTTAATGTAGGTTAGGGATTATCGACGGGATATCTCTCGTTAAATAGTTAGAAAATAATCCACTGCTGGTTATGAAAACAAAATGTCTGGCCTGCTATATAACGATTCGAAGCTTTTCCTATATTTTTCTGAACTTATGTTAAAATAAATGAAGAAAATGGCGGATTTTTGTCACAGTGGATAATGGGAACATGTGGCGTATCTTAGGTTAGGAGTTAGGTTGTCGACGAGATATATCTGGTGGAATAGTTAGAAAATAACCGAATAGTGATTAGGAAAACAAAATGGCTGACATACTTTGCGTTAACTCTTCGCACTCAAAGATCTTATTCATGATAAAGATGTAAAGATTCGAAACTTTTCCTACATCTTTCTGATCCCGTCGATATATCTAACATTTATGCTAAAATAGAAGGAGAAAATGGCGGATTTTTGTCACGGTAGATCACGGCGACATCTGGTGTGTCTTATCGTACGATAGGGATTATTGACGAGATATTTCTCGCTGAACACTTATAAAATAACCTACTACTGGATATAAAAACAAAATGTCTGGCCTGATATATAACGATTCGAAGCTTTTCCTATATTTTCCTGAGCTTATGTTAAAATAAAAGAAGAAAATGGCGGATTTTTGTCACAGTGGATAATGAGGACATCTGGCGTGCCTTAGCATAGGTTAGGATTTGTCGACGAGATATATCTGGTGGAATAATTAGAAAATAACCCACTACTGATTAAGAAAACAAAATGGCTGGCCTACTATGTAACGATTCGAAGCTTTTCTTATATTTCTCTGTGTTCGCCGATATATTTAACGTTTATGCTAAAATACAAAAAGAAAATCACATAATTCTAATCTAATTATTCCCTCGTATTCATTACTCTAGTAACATTATTGGGCAAGTTATTGGGACAAATGGCGACTGAGAGTCAACTGCAAAGGGTTTAGATGGGATCATATTCGAAGTAGTCACGAAGACGAGATATAGGGTGTACGAATTTTCATTATAACTACGAATGTAACACCCAACTGCAATCATACAAATAGTCTGATCATTCAGAGTGTAGATCCTACGCTGACGTCATAGATAAGGATCACTAAGCTTCATCGTTATGTTACATGTATAAATAGGATTATGCTGACAAACCTGATAGGATAATAGAAATCTGATTACTTGTAGTATCATACTCTGACACAGTAGCGAAGACGAGATAATCTTCGCGAATTTTAGAAATCTAATTGGAACCACGTAGATAATCTGACAGCTCGGTGCAACAGATTCTACTCTAACGAGATCACAGGCAGGGCTCACGCATCTTCGTAATTAATTCAGATATACAGGGTGTCGTAAGTGATACTACATATTCTACGAAGCTTCAAATGAAACAATTTTATTCCATATTTTTTATTCAGCTTTTCACGTAGAATCACCATCTTCTCGCTTGTATCACCATGACACCCTGTGTAAGTTGGATCATGGTAGAAATTCTGGTGTGATTGATCATATAATAGCTTTTACTCTGAAACAATGGCGGGTTTGCAAATTTTCATCGGTAACTTGAAACACTGTATCTACAAATGAGGTCATGTAGAGATGCTAATTTGATTGAACATAACGTAGCAGAACCCATTCTCACGCATTATAAAGGTAAAACTCACGAATTTTCGTTACTGGCTGAGAATGTCACGTATGCAAATGGGATCTTATAGAAAAGCTACTGTCTGATTGTTCGCAGTTTAATAAGACCATGTTCACTGACACGATCATGAAAATAGGTCTCACGGATCTTCATTAATGTCTAGCAGCGTGACGTGTACGAAAGGGATCATATAAAAATACTAGTCTCGTGGAAGGCTTCTACACTGACAGAGTCGTGAGAATACGGCTGTCAAATTCTCATCGCTGGCTGAAAGTGTCAAGTCTGCAAATGGAATCGTACAAGATCGAATGACAAAGAGAGTAATGAACGAAACACGCGCAGATCGAATGAGATAACGATAAATCATCGACGTTGACATAAGACCGATGTCAATCTCTCGCCATGCGATTTATCCACGACGATAATGACCGAGCATGCAATTCGATTTTTCTTAGTTCCATAAGGCAGTAACTAATATAGGAATATAGATGTATTGTACAAAGTGTCTATTAATAAATGGAAAATATACACATTCGGATCAGGAATAAATGATTTATAAATCTAGATCCTACATCTAGATCCAACAGCAATATACAAGGACGGTAATATATCACAATATACCAATAACATCAATTCTCATATTTAATAGAAGATTAATGTGTGTATGAGGACAACAATATGACACTATAGAAGTTACCTAAATATCTGCATAAATTATAGCGAGGCAAGAAACATCTTTATAACTTATAAATTATATATAAAATATTTTTCTTTGTAACTTTAAAATTGTAGGACACCCTATATAGTAATATACAGGGTGTCCCACTTAAAACAGACACCTAAATATCTCTGACAATTATAATGACAAAAAAAATATTTTATGTATAAATTGAAAAATACGAAGATACTTTCTGTGTCACTATAATTATAGGAGATATTTAGCTGCCCTGTCTAATAAAAATTCCAAATACAATTCCCAATAAAACTCCCCTACATCTTTTCACAATGATATTCTAATCCCAAAATTCAATACAATATTAATATATATATAAAAACAACAATATAACTCTATACAGGGTGTTCCACTTAAACCAGACCAACTAAATACCCCCTACAATTATGCCCCAAAAAACCTCCATAACCCTCAAACGACATACAAAATATTTCCTTCAGTCTTTAAAATTGTACCAGATATTTATTTAGTTTGGATCAAATGGGGCACCCCAATTAATATCAACAACCTCAAACTCCACGATACTCTTCAGAACGCTCCAAGACCTCCAATCCTTAATTTTCCTTAAAAACCTCGGAACAATCCCCAAAGTCGTCTCAAAGAAAAAGATCCACTGTTCGACCCGAGATAAAAGTGACGCAATCAGTGTAACGTATCCTCTACCTATCTCAGCACACACCACCGAAGCGTCAGCCATAGTCCTACGTCTCTACTCCTGTGCACCATACAGCCATCTTCTCGTCCCTATCCACCAAGTGCCGGAGCACACGTACACCGAGCCACGAACCGTGCTCGTCGATAGCGAGCTTTGCCAAGATATTCCACGACCGACGGTACCAACTATCCAGCGAGCAGCAATCGACGCGTGATCTATGTCGAGATCAGGATGGCGTGGATGACTCCGTGGAGGACGCTGAGCAACGATGCCACCGCGTCCAATCGGGACGACGTCGAAGGCACTCGCGAGGCAAATGTAGGTCGCGAACGGCTGTCCGTTGCTCGTTCGTCGGTTCGCCTCTGTTCGAGAGGCATGGTCGACGTCCAATTAACGGCTAGCTCCGCGAATTCCGGCACGCCGTGGCCAACGGACACGGTACATCCCCGAGTAACGCGGTAACTCCTACGATTTTACATTCTTCTCGCTTCGCTGAACTACCGCCGGTTAGGTCACTGCAAATGGTGCACGAGGAAATGACAGAAATTTTGAAAAAAAATTACTTGTCGATAAGACTCCAATTCTTTGGGATCTTTTTCGGTAATTATTTAGGAAATGGGGAGGGGGGGGGGGGGGGCAGGATTCATGATTTTTAGAAATCGTGTAGAAATCGCAAATTCCGGGATTCGAATTCTTTAGGGTTTTTATCGGTAATTATTTAGGAAATGAGGAGTCTCACTGAGTTTGATGATTTTTGAATATATTGTAGAAATCGACATTTTGAACAACATTTTCCTATATATATATATGAGCCGTTCACTGCACAAATTAATTAACTCCATAAAACAAAAAATGGAGAAATGCAATGAAATAATGTACATTGTTTTTTAAAATTCCCCTTATAATTGAAATCGAAATAAATATCGTAGAATGCATAAATATAAATGTAACTTTCGTCTAACGGTATATAAAATTTATAAGAAAAAATAGCCAAAAGGTAATCGTTGGTAATGTTACCATTTTTATGTTACTGGAAGAGTTAATCGATTTGGCAAGTGAAAAAAGTAATAAATTTAAATTTTACTTAAACTCTGATAAGACGGCACTAAAAAATTCACCGTTATC